GAGGATGATCAGGAGGAGTTTTGGGGATTCGGATGGAGTGTTGAAATACTAGGTATGAGGATGGAGAGCGAGGAGGAGGAGAAGGAGGAGGAGGAGGAGGAGGAGGAGGAGCAGGAACATTCCAGAGCAGGATGAGGGATAGCAGGGAACAGGTCTTGAGGGGTAGGATATCTTCCTCCCTCCTCTTTCCTTCCTCCCTCACGACTCCTCCCCCTCCCGCCCCTTTCCCTCCTCCCCAGGCGAGGCCTGAGGCGGACTCCTTCTCCTTCGGCACGGGCGGCGGGCGCGGAGGCGCCTCCTTCGAGAAGGACCCCTTTGAGGACATCGTCAGGGATTTCCAGTCTGGTACGGAGGCGCTGAAGGCGGAACGCGAGAGGGCGCGCCAGGAGTTCAAGCAGTCGGACGGGGACCTGAAGGCAGGCAAGAGGAGGATACTCGAGCTGGAGCGCGAGCTGCGGGAGGAGAAGCAGAAGGTTCAGCGCCTGGAGATCGAGGTGAAGGCCAAGAAGCTCGCGAAGCAAGAGGCAGAGCAGGCCGTTCTTCGCGCCTACACCAACATCGCTGGGACAGTGGAGCGTACCGCCAGGCATGCAATGGGCGACCTCGGCAGCCAGGGCGCCAGCACGGACGACCGCAGCGATGGCGCCGCCGGCGCCGCCGGCGCCGGCGCGTTCTTTGCCCGCGTGGAGCCGTCGCCGCTGGCCGAGGCGGTGCTGTGGGAGAAGCGCGGCTTCGAGGGCGCGTCGTACCGCCTGCGCTGCTGCGACTACTACGACCTCTCGAAGATGGCCTCTCCGCGCAGCATCCGCGCCATCACGCTGCCGCCGGGCACGAGGGCGGTTCTGTACCCGTCGAGCGGGCGCTTCGGAAGCGAGGCGGACACCGTTGGCTCCGTAGAGCTGTTCAGCTCCGTCGGGGACATGGACGGCCTGTTCAGCTACGTCCAGAGCTGCTGCCAGGCCATCCAGCTGCTCCCTGGCGTCGAGCACAGCGTGCACACCAGCGTGCTTCTCTACCCGGAGGAGGACTTCGGTGGCGAGCCGCTGCCGCTGCTGCCAGGCGACCACGAGCTCAGCGCGCGGATGAAGGTCGCGAGCGTGCGCGTGCCCGCCGGGGTGCAGGTGATGGGAGGCCACGTGCGAGCCCTGCCCCACCTCCCCACGATCTCTCAAGGAGGGAGGTGGGGTGCACTCTGCTCGGGCCGTGGCGGGGTACGGTTCGCATGTGGCCTCCCAGGTGACCCTCTATGGAGGGGCTCGGTTTCAAGACGGGTCCTTCGTCGGCATGCTTCAGCGGGACGCTCGCGCGTTCCCCCACGACGAGACGTCCACGAGCGACCAGGAGCACGCGCCGCGCCTGCCGATCGCGAGCGCGAAGGTGCGCCGGGTCCAGGATTCGAAGCTGCACGGCTTGTTCGTCTATCCGGAGCCCGCCTTCGGGGGCCGCCCGCAGTTCTTCGAGTCTGGTAAACACTACGTCTATCCCGAGCAGTGGCCTCAGGTCCGGTCGGCCAGGGCCACCAACCAGACCCTCGCGCGGCTCTTCACGGCCGGCGGGTTGCTCACCGTCTCGGGAGGCGAGGACGCGGTCGACGAGAAGTTCGCAAGGCCGTACGCTCTCGAGGTGTCCGCCATCTGCGACCCCCCCGATCTCTGCGGCGAGCACGGCAAGTGCGTGGCGCCGCAGCAGTGCTCGTGCAGCGGCTCCTACCAGGGCAAGCGCTGCAACCTGCAGAACCCAGACGGGTCGTCGGCGATTCTGTGCGATCGGAACGTCGTCGTGGTTGGCGAGACCTTGCCGTGCGTTCTGGTGCCTCGTCGGTACAACCTGGGGTGCAACGCCACATCGCTCTTCATCAAGGTCCGGCTCGACCCGCGCCAGGAGGCGCCAGGGGAGCTGTCTGGTAGCCCGCTGGTGGCAGAGGGCCACCTGGGCGGCCCCAGCCAGGAGCGGGCGGAGTTCCCATTTGACGCCGTCTTCAACAAGACCGGCGAGTTCGACCGGCCCTTCGAGTTCGCCGTGTTTGGCAAGGCGCAGGCTGGAGTCTTCGTGCCGCGCATCTCGGTGCTGGACCGCTGCGACCTCGCTGGGACGACCGCCTCGGTGCAGTGCGACTCGCGCAGGTGCCGCCTGGCCCTGCGCCGCGAGGGCTCGCCCCTCCGCTGCCCGCGCGCGTCCCTGCGGGTGCTGCTGCGGGGCCGCGGCGGGCAGCCCGCGCAGGCGGTGCCTCTGCTGGGCGGCAGGGAGGCCGCTGCGGAGCAGTTCGAGCTTGCGCTGGGGACGCTGTGGCCTGGCGGCGGCGACACGGCGCCGCTGGAGTTCGTCGTGCAGGTCTGCCACGGCCCCGAGTGGGCCTCCCCGACGCTGGAGCTGGAGGCGGCGGCGCAGCCGCCACAGGAGCCTTTGGCCGTGCTGGCGCGCGCCCGGGGGCTGCTGCGCCAGGGGCACGCCGCGCAGGCCCTGGAGCTGCTCAGGACCTGCGGCCCGTCGCGGAGCTGTGCGGCGCTGAGGGGCTCGGTGCTCGTGCGGATGGGGCGCTTCGACGAGGCCGACGAGGCGTTCGCTGCCCTGGGCGCTGAGCGCGGCGCTGAGACGGGCGCGGCGGCGGCGGCGATCGCCTCAGCCAGGGAGGCCGCCGACAGGGCGGACTCGGGGGCGGCTCTGGAGCACCTGACTGAGGCACTGCGGGTCGCGCCGCTCGCCGCGGAGCTCCGCCTGTGGCGCTCGGAGGTGGCCGCGGCCGCGGGTGACTTCGGCACCGCGCTGTCCGACGCGCGCGCCGCTCGGGGCCTGCACGGCCCTGGGACGGCCGCGCAGTGGCTCACCGTGATGGGCCGCGCGCTCTTCGCGTACGGCCACGCCGCCGCCGCCCTGCACAATTTCGGCGCCTGCGCCCGCCAGGGCGAGGAGCAGCCCGGAGCTTCGCCGGCCTCCGCGGAGGCGCAGCGGTGCAGGGAGCTCGCCGACGCCGCAGAGGCCGTCCGCGCGGACGCCGCGCGGCTCGGGGCGCTGCTCGAGGGCGGCCTGTGGTCGGAGGTCTCCCAGGCGGCGGAGGTGGCGCTCGCTCGTCACGAGGTCGCGTGGCCGCACTTCGGGGCCACCTCCTGGGGCCTCGAGGCGAAGGCCGCGCTCTGCATCGCGGGGCACGCGCTCAACGGGACCGACGACGGCGCCGCCCTGCGGCCCTGCGAGGCCGTCGCGGCGGCGCCCCGGGCCATGCGGGAGCGCCTCGACGTGCCCCTGCTCCTGCGGTGCGAGGTTGCGCGCGCGGAGCTGCTGGAGAGGGCGCAGTCCGCGGCGGCGGCCCTGGCCGCGGCGGAGGCGGCCGAGGCCCTGCTCGGCGACGGGCCGCTGGACCACATGGCCGCCGTCGTGCGCCTGCTGCGCGAGAGGCTGCTGCGCGCGGCGCGAGAGGCCGCAGCGCGGGCGGGCGAAGGCCCTGGGCCAGAGGCCGCCGAGAGCAAGCCGAAGCGGCCGGAGCCGGCTGACCTGTACGCGGTGCTGGAGCTCACGAAGAACGCCACGGCCTCGGAGATCAAGAGGGCGTACCGGAAGCTGGCGCTGAAGTATCACCCCGACAAGAACAGCGACCCGGAGGCAGTCGAAATCTTCTTGGATGTCCAGAAGGCCTACCGGGTCCTCTCAGACGAGACGTTGCGGCGCCGGTATGATGCAGGCCAGCAGGACGTTGACGATGAGGATCGCAACAAGAATATGCAGCCCATGAAGTTCCGCGTAGTTGAGCGGGACCGCGATCGTGGCATCGCCAAGGTCTGGTGGTACGATCCCAATACAGGAGAGGAAGGCTTCATGGACATGGAGATCGATAAGGATCGGGGAAACGTGAGAGTCGAGTAAGCCGGAACTCGGGTTTGCCGACTTTTTTGACGAGCGCGTCCTGGATTTCGACGGTCCCGTTTTCGTGGGATGTCTGCAGCGGTAGTCTGCGTCAAATTTCATATTGGGTCTCGTCATGTTTATGATGGCCCCCGTCAGGCCAACCCGAGTCCCCCGAACCCGAGTCTTACGTCACCCCGAAAGGAGGAGCCGGAGGAGCAGAGGGCGGAGAGGCTCACGCGGCAACTCTACGAGCACTGCTGCCTGGAGGAGCCGTGAGGGCTCACCATTCAGTTTCGTTGAACCGATCCCTATCCCCCATGCCCATCCCCATCTCGACCCCATCATCTCACCACCCCAGTTGGGGATATGCCCCTCAAAACCCAAGGGGAACAGCCTGTATCCCCATCCAGTGGGGTGAATCGGCCAGTGGGCCCAGGCCATTCCGGTGGGGATACAGGGCAGTTTTTGATACACAGGATTTTTAAGCATATCGGATTTGTAATACACGAGTCATGCATGAATCAATTGATGCACGAACTCACCGCTGTTTTCAACACTGAACCCCTGCATTTTTCAGACATGATCCGCACGCGGAGCACGCATCAAAAAGCGGCACTCTATAGGGATCGGTTACGCGATGCTCCGCCACGGCACGCGCGGCGCTCGGGTGGAGCAGCGTGTGCCTTCGGCCAAGAGAGGCCTGCGAGGGCCACGGCCACGCGAGGGCCACGGCGACCCGACCATCTCGCTTTGCCTCCTGTCGGGCCTGTCCCCCTGCAGGGGGATTTTCGACGAAAAACAAAAAAATACCCCCAAAATACCCCAAAAAGGCCAACAACTATGCAAACATAGTCCCCAGACTATTTTTGGAGTATTTTTTGATTATTTTTTGGGGTATTTTTGATGTTTCGGCGAAAATCCCCCTGTAGGGGGACAGGCCCGACTAGAGCTTTGCCTTTCCACAGGTGCGCCGTCGGGCCTCCGACTGGCGCCGGTGCAGCTCTCCGGGCGTCATCCCAAGTCGGGCAGGCCCCTCTACAGGAGGAGTGTTCAGAAATGGTAAACATGAGTAGCCTGGGGACGATCTTTCGCTCATTTTCTGAGCTATTCGTGAGTATTTTTTGACTACTTTTTCAGTTTTCGTCCAAGATCCGCCTGTGGGAGGACTTGCCCGACCTCAGCGTCGTCCCACCCCGCAAGTCTCCTGGCAGTGCCGCGCTCTTCCCCGGCGCAGGGCTGCTGATGTCGTGGCCGCAGGCAGGGCCTTCGATCACACTGAGACTTTGGTCGCGTGCCCAGCCCTCTGTGGAAGTTGGGTCCTCGGTCCTCGTCTCGAATCCACAGCGCGCACGCATCCTTTGACGAACCAACAACACACACCCATACCCACAGCGGGGTCGGAGAGGGCTATGGGTGCGTGCTGTCGGACGGGGGTCCCCGCTCGAATGGGAGCGTTCCCCAGGGTCCGACAACCCGCACCCATGCCCATAGCCAGTCCTCCTCCCAACGACCCCCCTATGGGTATGGGCGTGTGTTGTTCGTTCTTCATCCTTCCTCCCTCCTCCCTCCTGTCTCCTGCCTCCTGCCTCTGCTCTCCGCGCTCTCCTCCTCCTCCTCCTTCTCCCCCCTCCCCCTCCTCCTCCTCCTCCTCCTCCTCCTCCCCCTCCCCCTCCTCCTCCTCCTCCTCCCTCCTCCTCCTCCTCCCTCCTCCCTCCCTCCTTCCTCCTGCCTCCTGCCTCCCTCCTCGCTCTTTCCTCCCTCCTCCTCCTGCCTCCCGCCTCCTGCCTCCTGCCTCTGCCCTCCGCGTGTCTATGCCGGCGCAGCACCCGCGCGCCTCGTGGGCCCCACGGGGGCGCTCCCCCCGCGGCCCCAGCGGGCGACGACGGTGCGCGCCCCTTCTGGCACGCGCACCCCTCGCGAGGATCGTCGCCCCATGACAGTCAGGATCGTCGCGAGGATCGTCACCCCTCGCGGGGATCGTCGCACCCCTCGCGAGGATCGTCGCCCCAGGATCGTCGCCCCTCGCGAGGGTCGTCGCACCCCTCGCGAGGACCGTCGCGAGGGAAACAAGAAACACACAGACACACGTAAGCGTCGATTCCCCAGGAAGATGTGCGAGGATGTGGGAAGTGGGGGGGCGGGGGGAAGGCGAAGATCCCAAGAACTGTGGGAGACTATGGGGAATCCTGTGATCCGTGTGTACTTCTTTGTGTGCCCCTGGGCCCCGTTAGACAGGGAGCTCTCTCGACGGTCCCAGTGGCAGGGCCCGCACGGCTGCGCCGTCCACTCCGGTCCACCCCGCACGAGGGCCGTCGCCCCACGGGGAGCTCCGCCTGCGGCCTCGGTGGAGGGTGCGCTTGGCGGCGCCGCCCGCTCCAGTGCAGCCCTCGCGAGGATCCGTCGCCACGCGGGGAGCTTCAAGTGCGTCCCTGGTGGGAGAGTCTGCGCGCGTGCTGCCGCGCGTGCGGCGCAGCCCCATCTGCGGTCCCAGTGGCAAAGTTTGCCTGCGTTTCCCCGCGCATGTCGGAGTACCCCTGACACGTTTCGTGCCTCAGGGAGCTTCACTCAAATCGGGCCTGCTCCTCTACAGGAAGAGTATTACAAATTTTGTTTTAAGTAGCCTGGGGACGGTTTCCGATCTTGCTTTGACAATTTTTTGAATCTTTGTTTGCCTATTGCTTGTTTTTCGCCCAAAATCCGCCTGTAGGGGGACATGCCCGACCTAAATCTTCACCTTTCGCCCCCGTGGGACAGTTTGCGTGCGTCCCCCGACCTGTTCTTGCGCAATCCTCGTGCGTTCCGCGCCCCTTTCGGGACTCTGCCCGCGGCCCCCGCCGAGAGAGCCTGCCGTCTCCTCGCCCGCTCTGGCACGCCGGTCCCGCATGCCGTGCCCATCAGGGAGCTCCACCTGCCGCATCCGTGTGAAAGCTTGCGTGCGTTCCTCCACCCATTTCTCTTGTGATGTTCCAGCCTACTTCAGTTTCGATCGCCAGAGAGAATTTCGAGCACCAGAGAAAGCACCCCAAAAAGCACCGAAAGAATTCCAGAAAGAAACACCAGAAATAATTTCGAGCATTCCGAACAAATCGCCAGAATCACCGAAAGAATCACCGAAAGAATCACCGAAATAATTCCAGAAATAATCACCAAAAAAAGCACCGAAAGAATTCCAGAAAGAATCACCAGAAAAAGCATTTAGTTTTGATCACCAGAAAGAATTTCGAGCACCAAAAAAAGCACCGACACTCGAGGGTTCTCATGTGTCGGGCACTGGGAGACGTTCGTCCGACACTGCTTCGACTTTCTCTCGACACTTTTCGGGGTGCTCGAACTTATTTCTGGGGTGTGGTCCTTAAGTGCGATGGAAGCAGCATCACATGTACCACACCCCTCTCTCGGGTTGTGCCCCTTTTGAGACCTTTCCCAAATGGCCACAGGCAGGTTTTGCGCGCGCCCCGCCCGCCGATCTCGGCACAACCACCCCACGGCCCCCGTGGGAACGTTACTGTGCGTCCCCCCGCCCATCTTGGCACATCCATCACACGTATCGTGCATAGGGAAGCTCATCGCCAACGTTGCATGCATTTGCTAAGGTCGGCGGCGAGCGAAGGGGGGAAGTGATAAGGAGGCCTGCTCAGAAGGCGGCGGGACTTCTCAGAAGCCCTCGCGCCTTCTGAGAGGCTTCCGGTGTCTTCGGGGAAGGCTCGGACGACTTCTCAGCAGGCCGGGGCACTTGCGAGCCTTCTGAGAAGGCCCGCCCCCTCTCTCACTCCCCCCTGTGCTCGCCGCCGACGAGGGTCGGGTGACCCTCGCCATGCTAATGGTTTTTGCTGTTCCTCGGCCGGGGGCGCCGCGGAGGGCTGGGGGGGGGGGTGCGGTCGCGGGCAGAGGGCCCCTCCCGTGCGGCTCCGAGGCAAGGTGCCGCCCAGGGGCTCCGTTTTCGGGGAGGGAGGCCGTCAGCACTTTGGGCAGCGCGTGCTCGCCGGTGTTGACACCGACTCGCTGCACTCCTGAAGTGCGCTGCTTGTGGAGCAAGGCCTTGAGATGCAACTTATGTGGTGCAGCCCATCTGGTGCACGTACCCACCGGTCGTCGAAAGTAGGTATTTTTGGGTTTCCAGATCCCGCTGCACTTTCGGCGCCCTCCTACTCTTTTAGATGCGAACTGCTGTCCCTCTTCCCTCCTCCTCAGGGGGCGGGCGGAAGCCCAATCTGCTTCCGACCCCTTGACTCTCAGATGTTTCTACCCACTTCTTCCGACCGATGGGTGGTCATGGAGAACCTACAGTTGTGAGCTCCAGAGCTTGTCGTCAATTCCAACGCTCGAGCACGCATCCCAACCACCCACCCGTGGCGTGTGGGCGAAGCTCCGATGGCGCGGTGACGCGAGGGCCCACTTCTTCCGACCGGTGGGTGGTTATGGAGAACATACAGTTGTGAGCTCCAGAGCTCGTCGTCAATTCCAGCGCTCGAGCACGTATCCCAACCATCGGGCGAAGAGAACTATGCACATGCACCGATCCTGGCAAGGCCCATCCTTGACCCAGGATCGGTGCATATACTTTCCTGACCAAGGTAAGAGGGCGTATGCACCGATCCTGGGCTCAGGGTTGAGCCTGGCCAGAATCGGTGTATGTGCATAGTTTTCTTTCTTCTAAACCACCCACCCGTGGCGTGTGGGCGAAGCTCAGATTGCATGGTGACGCGAGGGCCCTTCCCATGCAGACCCCTGACTCGGGCGGGCGAGAGTGCCTCAGGAGGGGAAAAAACACAGAAACAATTAATCGTCGATTCCCCAGAAAATATGGGAAAATATGGGAAGTGGAGGGGAAGACAAAAACCCAGAAAACATGGGAATATATGGGGAACCCTTTTATTTGTGTGTATTTATTTGTGTGTCCCAGGGCCCCTTCAGGTGGTGCGGGCGACAAGGGCGATGCGATTGACGGTCATGATGATGATGATGATGATGATGATGATGATGATGATGATGATGATGATGATGATGATGATGATGTTGCAGACGACGGAGGGGATGATGATTACGACGATGGAGATGGTGGTGAATACGATTGTGATGATTATGGCGGTGGCAAAGACGACGCCGGCGATGATGATGGCCATCGTGCTGATGTGGGTGGTGAGGGAGTTGTGCGCGCGCATCTTCTGTTGATTCGGAATTGCGACAGACAGTTCATTTATACACAATCTTTGCCAGCGTGGACCCCGAACAGTGCTTTCTTGCCATATGTATGCGGTGCAATCTACCGATTGCATTGCAATTCAAGCCATGCCATGCGATTGCCGTGCCATGCCATCAAGAGGAAGATGAAGAGGAAAGGGCTGGTGGGATTAAGGACCCTGCAGTGCAAGTTTTGATTGGAGAGTGAGGGCTCGACGGAACCCGGTGAAACTTCGTCATTCGTTGCCTCGCGGCACGGGGGCGGATTGCAGGTATGATGATTGTTTCGGATGAGTGGTTGCATTTGTTGTAAGAGAGTTTGAGGATGACATCTTTACATGTTTACTTGTCTCGTGTGCTTGCGTGCTTTTTTGCTTGCTTGCCCTCCTGCGATATCCCTGGTTGCTTGCGTTCGGCATTATTTGCTCACCTGCATGCCATCATGCCGCATGCATGCTTGCTTGCTTTCAGGGTTTCATGCCTGCCTGCTCGCATGCTTGCTTGCTTAGGCCCGTACGCACATGTGCGCTTTTTTGCTTGTTTGCTCTAACCCGGACTGCATGCTGGCATGAACCTTCCGTCCTCCTCTTTTTCCTCCTTCGCCGCCGAGCCCTGTGAGCGGGCTGCACAGCTATCATGCCTGCGGCGGTGCGATGGCGGACTTCCTCAGGAAGCTGCCCAAACCGAAGGGCAGCGAGCTAGAGGCGCCGCGGAGGGAGGAGGGAGACAAGGCGCAGGAGGAGGAGGAGAGAAATACTGGGAAGAGGAGGGAGAAGGATTAGGATGAGGATGAGGAGGGGGAAGAGGAGGAGGAGGATGATGAAGAGAAGGAGGAGGATAGAGCAGGCGAGAAAGGGGGAAGCAACAACAACCCAAGGATACATGTCAGGAAGAGGAGGAGGAAGAGGAGGAAGCCCGCAATGAGGAAAAGGAAGTGGGATCATTTGACGGGGATGGTTGCTCCTCTACTACGTCAACGAGGCCTTTTGATATAACATCATTGCCGCATAGCTGGGGACCGGCGACCTTGCAGCTTTCTCTGGCGCATCACGGGTGATTCAATACACATCTTGAGCACCTCGTATGTATGATCCAGGGTTGTTCCCCCCCCCAATGCACGTGGGAGCGATCCCCCCCCTCTCCCCCGCTAGATGGGTACGCCCGTGACACTCGCGACGGTCTCGCGAACGGGATCGCTCCCCCCCTGTGGTCGTAGCCCTGTGGGCGTGGCGTGGTGGAGGGCGATGGTGCTTCCCCCCTGCTGGGTGCGGGGTGGTTCGTCGTCGTCGTCATCGTCGTCGTCATCGTCGTCGGCGTCGGCGTCGTATTCGTTGTCTTCCGTCGTCGTCCTCGTCTTCGTCGTCGTCTTCAGTCGGCGTCTGCGTCGGCGTCTGCGTCGTCGTCGTCGTCGTCTTCGTCGCCGTCGTTGTCGGCGTCGCTCCTTTATCCCATCTTTGGGGGGCTAGAACCCTGGGGCCCATCCCATTTTCGGGGGGGTGAACCCTCGACCCGGGATCATGAATACCATATTTGCCGCGTGACTGCCTCAGTGTTTCCTTTGTCTCATGGCGTCTGAGCACAGGTCGACACATTTGTGTGTGTGTGTGTGTGTGTGTGTGTGCGTGTGTGTGTGTGTGTGTGTGTGTGTGTGTGTGTGTGTGTGTGTGTGTGTGTGTGGCTCTCTCTCTCTCTCGCTCTCTCTACCTCGTGGCTAGCTTGTATCCCTCGCCGCTACTATGAAACTTTAATGCAAATCTCTGGAGCCATGCGCTTGCCCATAGCCCCCCCTCACCCTTAATGATTATTCCACGGTTGATTAATGATAATTTTATGCATCTAGTGGTTTTCGGCCCATCCCACCACCGTGCTTGGGTTGTGGGCCAGAATCTTTTTGCATGCCTCTCGGGATCTCTTGGGATGTCTATCGGGGGCCTCTTGGAGGCCTCTTGCTGGCCTCTTGCGGGGATCTTTAAGGCCCCTTTGGGGCCTCTCGGGCGCCTCTTGGCGGTCTCGGGGGCATCTCGGCGCAAGAGGGCTCGTGTGGCCAGTTCGGGTTACATTGGAACATGCATGCTCTTTCAGCAATTTCTTGATTCGGTCGAAATCACGTGGGGTGCCCCAACAGTCACGCGACGCACTCTCAAAGCAGCGCGGGGAGATTCACGAAATCCGCCCCTGTGGCTTCTGCGCCCCTTGGGAGCACTTCCTTTTCAAAATGGGGAATTGAGGGGACATCATGACACTTCACTCAGTGGCTCGCATCATAGTGGTGGATTTGACGTTGAGGGTGTCAGTGAGAGAAGCTGGAACACCTCCACCACCGCGTCGATGCCCCCCAGCACCATTTTGGATGGACTGTCTTGGGATTGCTACTTCGGCGGGGGCAGTGCAGGCTGCGTCCCATTGGTCTCCTGATTGTGCCCAAACGGTGTCCAGACGGATCCAGCTGCCTACGGCAAGTCCCGCCCCGGTGCCATGGTTGCGGGCATGAAGCCTCTTGGATGTTCGTTAGGGTCTCGTGGGGTCGGGGGCCGTTTTCTGGCTCTTGGGGCCTCGCTCGGGCCTCTCAGCGGCCGCTTGGGGCCTCTTTGGGGCCTGTCGGGGGCTTTTTGGGGCCTCTTGGTCGCTTTTTGGGGCAATAACCTGGGGGTCTCTTGGGGCGGAATGCTCGGATTTTCGGTTCGTGTTCCCTCTCTTTGGCCCCTTTGGGGGCCATCTTGGGGCCTGCTTGGGCCGTCTTGAGCGCCTCTTGGGCCGTCTTGGGGTGCTCTTAGGCAGAGTTGGGGCCCTCTTGGAGGCTTCCTGGGCGGTTTTGGGGTGGACTTGGCGGCCTCTTGGGCCGTCTTGGAACGTCGGGAAGCCAGAAAGGCGAGAACGCCAACATCTTTCAAGCACCAAAGGAAGTTCAATGGTTTTTACTTCTTTAGGCCCTCGAGGGGGTTCCTCGTGGGGCGCATGGGGCTTGTTTGGGGCCTCTTGGGCCATCTTGGGGCCATCTTGGGCGTATTCAAGCGCTCTTGGGCTGTCTTGGATGTCTCTTTGGCGGCCTGGGTGTGCTTCTGGTGCCGTCATGGAAGCTTTGGGGAGCACCGGGAGACGCCATGGCCGCCAGGGGTGTTTGGGCCGAATCCCACCCTGCTGGATATGGCCAGGAGCGGGCCTGGGGCTTCGGTGTGTGACGTCGAGAGAGGGGTGTCGCCGTGCCGTTGGTCACGATCTCGATTGTGCGGACCTCGCAGAATCTGGTTCGTGTCCAAAAAGAGGGTGCAGCCCCCCCCTACCCCTTGACTGATGATGCGAGAGGTGGGGTGGTGGGGGGGATGCAACAAAAGGTTGTAACATTTGCAAGTCTCGATTCTTTCTTTTTTTCCGCCCCCTCAACCACCACCACCACCGCGCGTCGCATTGCATTGCGTTGCAGTGGATGGCAGTGCATTGAGATTTCGGAGGAAGATGAGGAGGAAGCATCCCTGCGCCCCAGATTGGCCCTTCGTCTGCGATTCGCCCCCCTGGGCGCTCCGCAGATTACTGCCGCCACGCTGCCAGCCAATAGCCGCTTAGTGATTGAATCTCCTCTGCCGCACACTGTCGCTCAGCATTGTTCGCTCGCCCCCGTCTCTAGCGTCATGGTGCGGGGCGACCAGTCTGCTGACGTGCCTGCATACAGCAAGAACCTGCAGGAGTTCAGGTCCGCATTGGCCGAGGTGGCTTTTGTGAACGGGGCGCAGTTCCTTAGGACCTTGGAACTTGCAGCAATCGAAGACACCAGTCCGCATCCCAAAGTGCTTTCGATTCGCGCATGGGTGCTCGCGCAGCACTTCGGTTTGGTTGAGAAAGGTTATACTCCTCTTCGTGCTGTGAGGCAAAGCGCAGCGTCTGCTGCAAGAACGACCTAGGCGTCCTTGGCTTGCGCTGGCGGCCCCCCCGTTACGACGATTTGTGCGAGCAGTGCCAGGGCAAGGAGAAGCGCGTCGGCCCGGCGGGCTTCTTTGCTGGCGCTGACGGGGCCAACAGGACGAGTAAATTGGATGTCGCGGTCACGTGAGCGCTCTACGACCGTGCCGAGTCATGGGTGAGGAGAGGGGGACCCGGCGCACTAGCCACCATGCCATCGATCGCTGGCTGGAAGAATCCCAGCAGGCCGCCAGCAAGCACGTCGGCAGCACTTTCGTGATCCAGGAGGCGAAGGCCCGTGGGCGGACCCGCTCTGCGAACAAGGCGTGCCGCGGCGCGAAGAAGACCGCGCCGCAGAATAAGCAGAAGATCGCGGGTGCTGGTTTCCAGGAGGCGGTCCTCTCGAAAAAACCATCGATAAAAAAGGGCCATGGCGCCAGGGGAGAAACCCCCGATGAAGACCAGGTTCGCCGAGAAGGTCCAAAAGAGCGCGCGGGCCACGACGCGCGTGCTCATGGCCGACGAAAATTTCCTGAACAAGGGGGAGCGGAGCAAGCTGAATAAGCGTGCGCGGCCGCAGAAAACACAGATTTGGCTTCGGGGGGCCGTGCTACAAGGTGACTCGACTGCGTTAATCCTTCGCGTGCCGGAGCGCCCCGCCGACGCCTTCGGCGGCCGCCCCCGCGGCGCGGCTGAGATGGTCGAGAACTTCGGGCTGCTCGCTCTCAGGGAGGACGGCGTCTTCGCGAGCGACAGGAAGGGGGGCGGCGTCGCCGCCGCCGAGAGGCTCCGCGCCGAGAAGTCGTGGCCGTTGTCCCCGCTTCAGCAGGAGATCGTGGACCACTCGGACGGCGATCTCGTGAATGCCAAGGGGTGCTCCCCGAGCGCCGTCGAGTCCAAATGGGGGGTGGTCGAGCGGTGGATTCGGTCGAAGTTCGGCGGGCGCATGCCCTGGCGCCGCGACCGCGCCGAGTGGGAGCTGTAGCTGAACGAGTCCCAGCGCAGGTAGTTGCGCGGATCCTTCGGCCGAGACTACGAGCGTTTCCGCGTGGTCCCCTTCGCGGGCGTTCATGAGCCACGTTGCCGTGCGCCGAGAGAACGAGCGTCCGTCGGGGCTTGGTCTCATGCGTTGTTTGCCCGCTTGCCGCGCGGGTGCGTTTCGCGGCGGGCCGCGCCCCCCGCTCGTGTCCTCCGAGAATGTCGGAACTCCGGCAGCGAGAGCAATTCCGCCCATTTGCCCTGCTCTTTCTCTCTCTCTCTCTCTCTCGCTCTCTCGCTCTCTCGCTCTCTCGCTCTCTCGCTCTCTCGCTCTCTCGCTCTCTCGCTCTCTCGCTCTCTCGCTCTCTCGCTCTCTCGCTCTCTCGCTCTCTCGCTCTCTCGCTCTCTCGCTCTCTCGCTCTCTCTCTCTCTCTCTCTCTCTCTCTCTCTCTCTCTCTCTCCCTCTTTCATTTTTGTCGTTGTTTGTTTCTTCATTTTTTCTCCTTCTTTCTCTCTCTCTCTCGCATTCTCTCATTCTCTCTCTCTCTCTCTCTCTCTCTCTCTCTTTTTTTTTTCTTCTTCTCTCTCTCTCTCTCCCTCTCTCTCTCTCTCTCTCTCTTTCTTTCTTTCTTTCTTTCTTTCATTCTTTCTTTCTTTATTTATTTCTCTCCCTCTCTCTCTCTCTATTTTTTTTATCTCTCTCCCTCCCTCCCTCCCTCTCTCTCTATCTCTCTCTCTCTCTCTCTCTCGCCTCCTGGCGGGCTCTTCCACCGCCCCGCTGCCCTGTGTCCAGCCCCCCGTCTGGCGTTTTTCCAGTCGTCGGCGATGTGTG